GCTGTTGTTGTTGTAAACCGGGGGCCAGGGTCACAGTTTGAGCACCAAGAATTTCCTTGTCAAAAAACAGGGTGCGAAGGGCACGCTTTGATTGAGAAAAAACCGTATGCACTGCTGAGGGGGGATCAACATTACCCATTATTCTTGAGAAGTGGGACTTCGTAAACAACAACATCAGCAACAACAACAACAACAATCATTTTAAGACTGTTCGCCCTTATCTGCTCGAGTGTCGAATAACGCGAATGTCCCTAACCCTCGATACCCGCCCTTTTCGTTTTCGATCGAACCCCTTCTGGGGGGTATACCTTTCTTCCCTGCAGGCCGGGCCCCGGCAAGCGGCGGGGCGGCCGCGGACCGTCGGCCTGGCCAGCGGCAGCGCTGATCGGCGGGGCGGCCGCGGACCGTCGACCCGACCCTAAGAGGGACGGACAGGGGACCGACCACGACGACGACGACGACGACGACGACGACGACGGCAACGACGGCGACGGCGACGACGACGACGACGAGCGAAAGCGAGAGCGAGAGAGAACGACAGCAGAGCCACGAAGGGCACGAAGTAGGCCACGAAGGGCGACAGCGGGGACACGAAGGGAATGCGTATGGGGCCACGAAGAGCGCGAACGAGCGTGGGCCACGGAGTGCAGATAATGCGAGGGGGCCACAAACGGCGACAGCGGGGCCACGAAGGGCATGCACATGGGGCCACAACGGGCGCGAACGAGCGGGGGCCACGAAGGGCATACGTATGTTGGGCCGCGGAGGGTACGGACGGTGCCACTGAGGACAGCAACGGGAACACGAAGGGCAGCGAGGGGGCCACGAAGGGCGACAGCGGGGCCACGAGGGGCATGCATATGGGGCCACCACGGGCGCGAACGAGCGGGGGCCATGAAGGGCATACATATATGGGGCCACGAAACAAAGCGAGGGGGCCACGAAGGGCTGCAACGGGGCCGCGAAGGGCAGCGAGGGGGCCACGAAGGGCTGCAACGGGGCCACGAAGGGCTGCAACGGGGCCACGAAGGGCAGCGAAGGGGCCACGAAGGGCTGCAACGGGGCCACGAAACAAAGCGAGGGGGCCACGAAGGGCTGAAACGGGGCCACGAAGGGCAACGAGGAGGCCACGAGGGGCTGCAACGGGGCCACGAAACAAAGCGAGGGAGCCACGAAGGGCTGCAACGGGGTTACGAAGGGCAGCGAGGGGGCCACGAAGGGCTGCAACGGGGCCACGAAAGGCAGCGAGATCCCGATGTTTAGGTAATCTGCGAAGGAGTCCTAAGCGTGAGCGCGACTCCTGGGTGCCTGGGTGTCGGGAGCGCGGCGCTGGAGGAAATTGCAAGAAATTCCAACGCAAGGGCGCCATTCTTTAGTAAATTGCAAGCAAGTCTCCAGCGAGAGCGCGACTCCAGAACGCAGGAGGAGCGATTCCTGAATACATCGTAAGGAAGTCCCAAGCGAGAGCGCGATTTTTGAATAAAATGCGAGGAAGTCTCGGGCGGGAGCGGGGGTCCTGGCTAAATTGTGAGGAAGTCTCAGGCGGGAGCCGTTGTTGCTGTAACCGCGGGGCCAGGGGGCCAGTTTGAGCAGGAAGACTTTCATTGACAAAAAACAAGGTGCGAGCCCCGGGGGGGCATTTCAATTGAAAACAAATCAATGTGCACCGGTGGGGGGGATCAACAATAGTTATTTTTCAAGAATGAGAGTTCAACAACAACAACAACAACAACAACAACAACAACAACAACAACAATCATTTTACCCGAACGCTCAGTGTTCTCCCCAGTGCCAGGGTTTTCTTGCGACACCAGCCAATACCCCCACTTCGTGGGGGGGCCGTTCAAGCTCTACCAAATATCCAAACGACTCTTCGAGACCACCCACACCCAGCTTCCCGCCCTATGACGTTGGGACACTTCACTTCGTGGCGTGCGGACGACCCTGGCTACTACACTGGCGTGGGGTACACACCCACAGAGGTTGATCACATCTGTTACATATGATGTGGTACACGGTACACGTGAGATGGTACGCAGTGCCAAGATAGTTGGTCACATTTTTGGGGCAAATTCGTGGGGATGCGATTACAGAAGTACATGTGTTACACTGATGTTATACAGTCCCAAGGATGACGCATGCATTGCTCATAGACTCATGGCGCTATGATCCTAACTCTCAGTGCCCAACGCGCGCGTGCACAGCCAGACGGAGGGAGAGAAACACATGTATACAAGGTTCGTGACATACGCACGGTCCACCATGTTGTAAACGATCGCATGCACGGTAAGTTCTGAAATTATACGTATGTACAAGCAGACATGCGAGGGAGAAAGGGAGATGGCCATCGACAGTTCCAATACGGCTCCAAGGCGGAAGAGGGGGAGGAGGAGCAGGACAAGGAGGAAAGGAGAGAAGCGAGAAAGGAAGAACGCAGACGGCGCGGCTGCGCCGTCGGGCGCCTCTTTGGGCCTCATGGGCGCCCCTTGGGGCCATCTTGCGCGCCTGTTGGGGCCATCTTGGGTTTTAAAGATTCATCAAGAGACCGCGAATGGATTTCGAGATTTTTCGGATGAGAAAGTAGTGCGTTTTCATATGTTTTCTGAACATCGCATCTTGAAATTATTGAAAACCCATTGTGTTTGGCAGGATTTCGACATGCGCGCGCGGCGGCCGCGCGCATGTGCACTTCGTCTCATTTTTTGCAAGGGATGGTGGCCCTCGCAGGCGCGCAACCGTTGTTGGAGAAGTTCAAAGCACCTGAAGAAGTAGCACGCAAAGACCCTTTTGACAGAAATGTTTAAAAAGTGGTGTGTTTCCTATGAATCCGCAAGAGCGCGCGGAAGGACATTTTGACAATTTTTTCTTAAAAAACCATTGGGTTTTTGATGTTTTTATGTTAAAATCGCTACGAAACCTAAGGTTTTGGAAGGATTTCGTCTTGCGAGCGCGAATGTCCACTTTACCTTATTTTTTGCAAGGGATTCTTGAAATTTGATCAACTAAGAACAAGAATTTTCATTTTCTATTGTTTTTTGCAAGGGAAAACGAGCGTCAACAAAAAACCGGATCCGGGGGTAATCCACTTTTCTGAAGCTTTCGCAGAAAAATGATGAAAATGTAGCTGCGGCCTAGGTTTTGGGCGGGGGGCGTGCACCAGGGGGTCCAACAATAATAATTCTTTAGAAGTAATAGTGTTCAACAACAACAACGGCTCCCGCCTCATATTTCCCCACAGCGTATTCCTTAAATCGTGTTCTCGCGCCGGACGTCCTCACAATTGACGCAGGAATCGCGCTCTCGCGTGGGACTCCTTTCATTTATTCAGACGACGCGCCCTCGACACTCAGGAACCACGCTCTCGCTATGGACTTTCTCACGAGATACTTGGGATCGAGCTATTGCCCGATTTTGCCGCACGATTCCTGCAGGATGCACGCTTCAGCAACCCGCCTGCTCGACCTGGCCGCGTGGGCCCGCCTTCCTTCCCGACCCGCCCGATGGGGTCTGCCCGCCCGGTCTGTCCGCTTGGTGTTGCCACGTTTTGTCTGCTCCCTCCCGTGCTATTTTCTGCTATTTCCTCTCGTGCTGTTTTTTTCTCTTTTGCTATTCTCTCTCGTGCAATTTTCTGTTATTTTCTCTCGTGTTATTTTCTCTCGTTCTGTCGCCCCTCTGCTGCTTTCTTCTCTCGTGCTCTATCATGTTCCCTCCCCCGTGTCCCTTCCTCCACCCGTCCTCTCTTCCCCTGCCTCAGGGGCTGCACGAAATGCACGTTGCAGACAGGAAAGAAATACCCCTACGGGGGTACGGCCGAAAACGAAGAGGGCGGGTATCGTGGGTTCCGGATCATACGTGTTGAGTGGCACGCGAGCAGGTAAGAGCGAACATTATTAAAATGGTTTTGTTGTTGTCGTCGTCCCACCCCACGACCCGCCCGCGACCTACCCGCGACCCACCCGCGACACACCCGCGACCAGCCCGCGACAAAGCCCGCGGCAAAGCCCGCGACCCACCCGCGACCGACCCCTCGACCCACCCGCGACCCACCCCGCGACCCACCCGCGACCCACCCAGAAGGTGCCCCCTTTGGCCGAGAACCAGGCGATGTGTGGATCTGATGATTTGATACATCTCAATACACCCGTCGGGAGAGGCGGAGAAGAAGGAGGAGGAGGAGGAGGAGGTCTCCCCCGCCTCCTTCCCAGTCGCCCTCTCTCCTCATGTTCCTTCCTTCCCTCCTCCTCCCTTCCGTCCTCCGTCCTCCGCGTTTATGATTATCCCCCTCCCTGCCCCTTTATCATCCTCCTGCGTTCTTCTCTCCTTGTCCTTCTTCTCACCCCTGCGGCTCCTCGCTCTCCTCCTAATGCTTACCATGACCTCCCAGGGTCCCCTCGAGCCCCGTCAGACCACCTGACACCGACAGGCATACCTCCTGGCCATCCCCCTTCTCTTTCCTCTCTTCCTCGTCATTCCCTTCCTCCACCCTCCGTCCTCACTCCTGCTTTCCTCCTCCCCCCACCTTCCAGACGCCCCGCTGCAAGTGCCTCAAACCGTACCTTCTTACCTTCCTTTGCCCCCATCCTCATCCCTCTTCCTCCCTCCCTCCCTCCCTCCCTCCCTCCCTCCCCCCCCTCCTTTTCCCTCCCTCCCTTCTCCTCTCTTTCTCTCTCCCTCCCTCTCTCTCTCTCTCTCTCTCTCCGTCAATCTCCCTCCGTTTCTCTGGTAATCATTCCCCCCTCCTCCTATTCCGACGACGGCGACGACGGCGGCGACGACGACGACGAGGACGAGGACCACGCCCACGTCCACGACTATGACCACGACCACGACCACGACCACGACCACGACGACGACGACGACGACGACGACGACGACGACGACGACGACGACGACGACGGCAATGGTGACGGCGACGGCGACGGCGGCGATGGCGACGATGACGGCGATGACGGCGGCGGCGGCGGCGGCTTGCGCCGGCGGCGAGGGGGTCGTGCCGCGAGGACCGCATACTGGCCGGGTGGATCGGGCGAGAGTCGGGGGCGTGCGCCTCGGAGCTGCCTGCGCGGGCGTGCGCGGAGGCCGTGGGCGCCTCGGCCTCGCGCTGCAGCAGTGCCAAGAAGAGCAACCAGGGCGGTCCCCCTCGAGAGGTGGAGAATCACGACGGGAGGGTGTCGCTATCTGTGGCCTCGGGGTGCCCTTCACCAGCCTTCGGGGCCGTCGAAAAACGGCGCGGGATGGGAAGCCAGCCCCGGGGAGTGGGTCGAGACCTCTGGGGGTCGACGTTGTTGAAAAATCATGACGTCGGGGGTCTGGGAGAACAGTGCTCTCGTAAAAAAAAATTCGAGCGGCTGGGCACGACTGTATTATGTTATGTGCCGGAGGAGCCCCCCACCCATCCAGCCACATAACGCGCCTTATTATGTGGTTCGGCAAAAAAACTGGAGCTCGTGTTGGAGCTGGCTGGGTTTCTGCGGTGTTCCAGCACTTGTGCTGGCTAGCAGGAGGGGAGGGGGGGGTAGGTGCACGGTTCTGGGTTCGGAGAGGTTTTGTTACCCTTTTCGGCCTCCGGGTGCCGTTTTCGGACCCCAGGACAGAAATGGATCCGGGATTCACTATTGTACAGGATGGATCCTTGGAGGGGTCTGGGGACGGATTCTGAGCGGATGTGGCGTCATGCCCCCCTCTTGTCCAATTGTTTTGGGTCCCAGCCACTTCAGACCGCCAGGCCATCTCCAGGCTCGGTGTGCACCGTGCGCGTTGTCGTCTCCCGAGGCGTCGTCGATTCTAGGCCCAGGAGGGTCGGCTACACGTACGTAAGAGTGGTCGTTGGCCGGCGTGACCTTTGGTGCTGGCCCACTGGGGTTCACCTATCGCCAGCATTCTTCGAGTGCGATGCGATAGCAGCAGCTTGCGCGCCTGGATTTGGCCACATGGCGGCCCCAAGAAGCCGCGCATCACTCTTGAGTGCAGCTTGCAGCCGAGAAGGGTCCGGTGCGTTTGTTCTGCCCTCAGAGCCGAATCGCTATGCACAGTACCGGTTTCGAGCGGGGCCTGAAGCGAGTCCAGCGAGTCCAGACATGGTACGGTGCGTGGGCGCCGCTGACGTACGTTAGCGGGGGCTAATAAGGAGGAGGAGGAGGAGGAGGAGGAGGAGGAGGAGGAGGAGGAGGAGTACGAGGAGGAGGAGCAGGAGCAGGAGAAGGAGTAGGAGCAGGAGCAGGAGCAGGATGATGATGATGAGGAGGAGGGGATAATAACCAGGAGTAGGAGGGGAGAGGAGCGAAAGAAGAGGAGGAGGAGGGGGGCAGGAGAGGCGGAGAAGGACGATGGCCTGGAGGAGAGATGGGTGTCCGAGGCCATGAACGCTCAGGCGGTCGACTTTGCTGTGATGCTGCTACAGAGGCGCGCCCCGCGCTGGCACGGCGCCCGCTTGCCTCCCTGCTGCTGCAGCTGCTCATCTGCCTCCCTCCTCCCCTCCCCTCCCCCTCCCTCCCGCCCTCCTCTTCAGCCCTCCTCCCTCCCTCCACTGCCCCCTTCTTGGCCTTCCTCATCTCTCCTCCTCGCTCCTCTGTCCGTTCTCCTTTGACTCTCTTTCCTTCCTCCCTCCCTCCCCCCTCTCGCCTCCCTTCCTTTGCATACCTCCTCCTCCTCCTCCTCCTTCTGGTCCTCCTCCTCCTCCTCCTCCTCCTCCTCCTCCTCCTCCTCCTCCTCCCTCTCCTCCGGGCTCCACGGCATGCCCTGATGGGCGCGGGCGGGCTACCCTAGCGCTCGCTCGTCTCGGCTCGTCCCATCCTCCCCGTGCCTCAATTCGATTCCATTCCTCCGATTGGATTCAATTCGATTCGATTACGGTGGTTTCACATTCCGAGTCGGTTCGACTTCGGATTCTGATTTGGGCTCCGGTTTCTCATCGGACGCCTGTCAGCCGGCCGATTTCCACGGATTCGTTGTTTTTTGATTCGGCTGCTGATTTCCACCCATCCGATTCGTTTCGATCGCCGATCCGACTTATTGATTCGATTCTGGGGCCCACTCGCAAGTCGCAGCGGCGGCAGCCGCGCGGGCCGCGGCGGCGTGCTGTTGACTTCGTTGCGCGGGTGCATGCAAGACGTTTTGCCATCAGCATTCGCGCGATGATGGAACAGTCGCCATACGAGAGTTTGGATCGCAGGAGTGTTGGGTGGCCCGTGGTCCTTTGCAGTGGCGAGTCGGCCTGTAGCTTCGCGCGGCCCGGGCCCGCGTCCACTAACTTATCTCTACCTCATCACCTTGTCCCCCTCACCCCAAGGGCCCGTTCTCAGCAGCCCCATCGAGGCTGTCTTAGCCGCCGCCCCCATTCAACTTGTCGTCTCCCCCCCTTCCGTCCTCTGCGCCCCCTCTTCGCTCAGCGTTTTCTCCAGGCGTTGTCGCGCGCGCGGGTTTCGTTGGCCCCGTCGTCGTTTTCCTGGCGCCGTCGTTCCTGTCAGTGGCTGCGCTGCTGCTTCTGCCCCCCTGTCTGCCCTCCGCTGCATCGCCGCCGTAGCTGCCGTCGCAGATGCGGCGTCGGAGGTGTGCGGATTCGGCGGGGTTGCGTCGGCGATTTGCAAGCGAGGCGCTCGAGTTGTCCTGGGTGGATCGCCCTTGGGCGAGCGCGCGCAGTTGCGTTTCGCGCGCGCCGCGTGCAGCTGCGCTAGTCCAGCGGGCGGCTTTTGCGTAATTGCGCAGCGGAGACATATTACCATTTATTTCGCAGCACTGATGCTTCTTACGTGCGTCATGCAATTCAATGTTTTCCTGAGTCCCCAGGCTGTCCATGAGTAGCTGCCTTACAACTCTGGGTTCCTCTACTTGTGCTCCGACGGTTCCATGTCTGGAATCCGCCTGCAGTGCCATTTGGCGAGACCGTGGTCGTCTGATGCCCCCTGGAGCTCTTTAGAGCGTAGTGCCCTGTGCTGCGTAGACTGGCTGTCTGAACGTTGCGGGACATTCGGCTCCACCACGCCAGGGTGCGCAGGGGCCGCCATGGCATGCTTTTGCTATCGGTAATGTTCCCCCCGTCCACCTCCTGGCTCGCCGTCCTTTCTTTCCTCGTGGGAGCACTGGAGCGGGAAGGAGGAAGGGGGTTGGAATTCTTCACGCTTCGCGTATCCCCACCAGCCCATCTCAAAACAGCACCTCTTGCGAAGCATGCCGACAGTCGTGTTTTTCAGGCGTGTGTCCGCTTGCCCCCGCATATCTCCCCTGTGCCTCCTTCCTCCCGCCTCCTTGTACATCCTCCTTGTGGTGGGAGCGGGAGAAGGACGAGGCGGAGGAGGAGGGAGAGAAAGCGGTGGGAGGCAAGAGGGATTTAGCGGAGACGACGACCACAGCGATGATCCTAACAACGACGACGCACCCGACGACGACGACGATATCGACCGCAACGACGACGACGACCACAACCGCGACGACGACGACGACGACGACGACGACGACGACGTCGACGACGACGACGACGAAGGCGGCGGCGGCGACGACGACGACGACGACGACGACGACGACGACGACGACGACGACGACGACGACGACTGGTGGGAGTCGTTGGGGCCCCTCGTGGTGTGAGTCGTTCGGCCCCATCGTCCTTGTGTGAGTCCTTCGGGCCCCTCTTCCTGGTGTGAGTCGTTCGGGCTCCTCGTGGTGTGAGTCGTTCGGGCCCCTCGTCCTGGTGTGAGCCGTTCGGGCTTCTCGTGGTTCGAGTCGTTCGGGCCTTTCGTCCTGGTGTGAGTCGTTCGGGCCCCTCTTCCTGGTGTGAGTCGTTCGGGCTCTTCGTGGTGTGAGTCGTTCGGGCTCTTCGTCCTGGTGTGAGTCGTTCGGGCTTCTCGTGGTGTGAGTTGTTCGGGCCCCTCGTCCTGGTGTGAGTCGTTCGGGCCCCTCCTCCTGGTGTGACTCGTTCGGGCTCCTCGTGGTGTGAGTCGTTCGGGGCCCTCGTCGTGGTGTGAGTCGTTCGGGCTCCTCGTGGTGTGAGTCGTTCGGGCGCCTCGTCCTGGTGTGAGTCGTTCGGGCCCCTCCTCGGGTGTGAGTCGTTCGGGCTCTTCGTGGTGTGAGTCGTTCGGGCCCCTCGTCCTGGTGTGAGTCGTCGGGCTCGTCGGTAGTAGTAGTTGTAGTAGTAGTAGTATAGTAGTAAGTCGTAGTAGTATAGTAGTAGTAGTAGTAGTAGTAGTAGTAGTAGTAGTAGTAGTAGTAGTAGTAGTAGTAGTAGTAGTAGTAGTAGTAGTAGTAGTAGTAGTAGTAGTAGTATAGTAGTGTAGTAGTAGTAGTCGTCGTCGTCGTCGTCGTCGTCGTCGTCGCGTCGTCGTCGTCGTCGTCGTCGTCGTCGTCGTAGTCGTCGTAGTAGTAGTAGTAGTAGTAGTAGTAGTAGTAGTAGTAGTAGTAGTAGTAGTAGTAGTAGTAGTAGTAGTAGTAGTAGTAGTAGTAGTAGTAGTAGTAGTAGTAGTAGTAGTAGTAGTAGTAGTAGTAGTAGTAGTAGTAGTAGTAGTAGTAGTAGTAGTAGTAGTAGTAGTAGTAGTAGTAGTAGTAGTAGTAGTAGTAGTAGTAGTAGTAGTAGTAGTAGTAGTAGTAGTAGTAGTAGTAGTAGTAGTAGTAGTAGTAGTAGTAGTAGTAGTAGTAGTAGTAGTAGTAGTAGTAGTAGTAGTAGTAGTAGTAGTAGTAGATGTCTTTTGGGAGCCTCTTGGAGGCCTTTTGGGGCGTCTTGGGGGCCTCTTGGCGGCCCCAGGGGCTTCTAGGAGCGTCTTGGGTGCCTTGGGGGAGCCTCTTCGGGCCTCTTGGGAGCCTCTTGGAGGCCGTTTGGGGCGTCTTGGGGGCCTCTTGGCGGCTCCAGGGGCTTCCAGGAGCGTCTTGGGTGCCTCGGGGGAGCCTCTTGGGCCTCTTGGGGGCCTCTTGGGGGCATCTTGGGGGCCTCTTGGAGGCCTCTTGGGGCCTCTTGGGGCTCTTTGGGAGGGGTCTGGGAGGTATCTTGGGGCCATCTTTGGGGCGATCGATCACAGATGGGGCGAGCATTTTTGTCAGTACCCCCGTCGGGGCCACGATCCTCGTGAGGGGTGTCGAATTTTAGCCCTCCCAGGGATAGAAAAAGGACCCTCTGACCACCCGCGAAACCCCCTCTCCAGGTCCAGGGGGAGGGGGTAGGGGGTGGGGTAAACCCCTCCCCGAAGGGGAAGAAGGGGGGTTGAGAACAGAGAGAGCTCGCTAAACCACTCACGCCCAAAGGGCTGGTGGGATAGAAAGGAGGCAGGAAGGACAGTGGAGGAGGGAGCCAGGAGGAATAATAGAGAGAGAGGAGGGGTGCGGGACTAGGGAGGAAGTGAGAGAGGGAAGGTTGGATTCAACCAGGGCCCTTTTCTGAGACAGCTGCCCCCGCAAAGGCCCGTGATTTCGGGGTCGCGAGTGGCATGGCGTTCTGGATCCGCGTAAAAGTCGCAAGAACTGGCCCAGGCGGCGGCATGTTCACGCGCGCGGGCTGAAACACTGTCTCGCAACTCGTACCCACCCGAGCTCTGAGGTCGAGGTTCGCTGACCTGTGAGGTGCAGTGGTGGTTGCGCTTTCGGGGTCTTGCGATCGTAACGATCGCGTTTCGTCGAGACGGGTGAAAATGTGCTCGCGCGTTGCGCATTGGACCTATCCGGGGCTCCACGCCGAGCCACGTTTTTGCGGGCTTCTCGCGGTTCCAGGGAAGCCCAGAGGCGTCCCGTGGCCCTGCCTGGTTTCTGATTCGTCTCTCGTGGGTACTCGGGCTGCGTGCTGGCAGCCTTGGGCTGGAGCACTCCTAGGATAAAGCGCCAGGCCTGGGGGCCAGACAAGAGCGAAACAACGACGCACGCGCACATGAATTCGCATGGGTTTCGAAAGAACGCATGACGCGATCGCGTTCGAGATGAAGGCGACCTCGCGATCAGAGGGGACACGTCTTTTGAGGGGTCGTGGGGTCCCGGGGCCTCTGTCTTGAAAACGGTGAGGCCGCCGGATGTTTGGGTTCGAGGGCGTCTTAAGTGCGCAGTGTTTTGGAGCGTTTCGGGCTGGCGACCAGCGGGCGGTTTTGCGGCCGTGCTTTGAGGGCGTCGGGGGGCCCCCTTGCGGAGTCTATGCTGCGTCGAGATTTGGTCTGGAGGCTGAGTTGAGACGCGTCAGGTCGGTTAGCGTCCGCAGGCCCGCGTCTGCGCCGTCGTGGTGGCTTCTGTGCACCGAGGCCGCGGCCGCTTCGCAAGGATGCCCTCGCACGGCTTACCGTTCCGGTCCGGTACGGCCAAGCCGTCGGACCAGCTTTCGGAGGGTGCCCTTGACGCAGAAGGCCCCCATGGGGCGGGATTTCCCTGGCCGCCCTCGGGTCTCCCAAGACGTCCGCCGCCGCCGCTGCTGCTTTTGCCGTCGTTGTCGTCGTCATCGTGGTCGTCGTCGTCGTCGTCGTCGTCGTCGTCGTCGTCGTCGTCGTCGTCGTCGTCGTCGTGGTCGTCGTCGTCGTCGTCGCTCGGAGCAGTCGGCGGGTGCAGGGTGTGCATCCTGCAGCAGTCTGCCGCGGGGTCGGAGTTTCCCGAGACCCTGGAGGTGCTGGCCGAACAGGCGCGCCCCCCCCCCGCCAGGGAGGTCTTCGGCGTCGCCGGCAGCAACAGCGGTCGCACCCCCCCCCCGGGTTGTGAGAAAATCGCGACGGGAGGTTTTTCGCTAATTTCTGGCCTCGGCGGGGATTGCCGGCCCTCGGGACCGTGACAAAAACGATTCAGGACCAAAAAATTGGTCCCGGGGAATGGGGCGAGACCTCTGGGCGTCGACGTCATGAAAAAATCCTGGGGTCTGGGGTCTGGTGTGGTGATTGCGTTGCGGCAGCAGCAGCAGCAGCAGCAGTATGTAGTCGTCGTCGTCGTGGACGTGGTGGTAGTAGCTGGAGGAGGAGGAGGAGGAGGAGGAGGAGGAGGAGGACGACGACGACGACGGAGTAGGACGACGGAGGGAGAAGGACGTGGTTGAGGAGGGAGAGGAGGAGCATGCGGGGGAGCGGCGAGGAGGAGGTTGGCGCTCGGAGGAGGAGGACAGGGAGAAACATGGAGAGGCGGGTGGGGGAGCGGGAGGATGCGGCAGGAGCAGGAAGAGGACGACCATCATGGATGAGGAGGGAGGAGAGGGAATGAGGGAGCGGGGAGAGGGCGGCGAAACGACGAGGCAGAGGAGGGGCAGGAGGAGGTAGAAGAGTAGCAGTAGGCACGGGCTCGGGCATGCGGTTGCAGGGGTGGCAGGCCTGCCGCGTCGTTCTTCGCCAGCGCCCACCCGTCTCTGCACGAGCTGGTCTCTTCTGGGCTTGCTTCACGAGGAGGCTGTCGCTGTCAGCAGGAGGCCCTCACGAATGGGATTTCAAACTGGCGAGTCGCGCCTAGTTTTTCGGGAGGGCCAGCCATTCCCGCAGCGCTGCCGAAGCCAAGGCAGCGAACCGTGTCTTTCCCAAATCGACCACGGGCAGCGCCATGGTGGTGGAGATTCCGGACTGCCACCATCCAGAGCTCTGTTTCAATTGGTTGCTCATGTGCTGTATTCTTGCCGCCCAGGCTCATCCGGGCGTGCACTCCAAGGTACATGCCAGAGCCACATGCCACGCTGTCTCCTTTCCTCTTCTCAGGTCGTTTCCGTCTCCGGGTGCGAGCGTCTCCTTAGCTTGGGAGCCAGGTCCATTGTCCAATTCGGGAAGAGTGTTCGGGGATTGGCCTGCTCAGTTGTGCCGAACGTTTCGCCGTGGTGCATGCAGACGTATACTCGCGCGCCTGATCGCAGACGCGCATGTGCATCAGGACCTCGTCTTGTCTATCAGGACGCTCGTGGCCTCATTGCGCGGGAGGCTGCTGCCTGTGCCGATTACGGCTGAGCCAGTCCCATATGGTCAATACTCACAGTAGGGACGCACGGATGTCGTTAGGGTACACTGACGTCCTTGCCTTTGCGGCTTGTCCTTCGCGGTGTTCACTCGGCAGCCTTTCAGGGTGTTGGTAGTCCGCCGCCCGAATAGTGCCAACTTCGGCGTCCAAGGCCCTTGCGTCCTTACCCTTGGCATCGCTTGGACTTGTGCATTTTTCACTGGCGAGTGCAATCGAGGAGCCTCTTGGACCATCAGTACGAAACATCAGCGCACGAAGCCGAATAATGCACGGGGAATGGACGTCCGAGCGATGGCAAGTTACCGCCCGATGCTTACCACGGAGTTCTACTGCATTCCATGGTCCACAGATTTCCGTCGTGTCCGTTGTTCTGCACGCCTGGGCAAACCGTGGGCTGCAAAGAGACCACTGCTCATCTCCTCTCCTCTCCTGGGTGGCCTCGAGGAGGAGGAGGAGGAGGAGGAGGACGGGGAGGAGGAGGAGGAGGAGAGCTGCTCCTCTCCTGGGTGGCCTCGAGGAGGAGGCGAAGATACACACGCGCATCGCACTGAGTCGGGTGACGCGGGCGCCCGCGCGAGCCCGCGCGACCTCGTGGTGAGCGAGGGAGGCGCGGCTCTTGGGGCCTGGGCGCGAGGTGTCGGACAGCCTTGGCTGCCTCGAGACGCGCGCTTCTCGTGCGCAGCACGTGCCGGGCTCGGGGCGTCCGTGTCAGTACGCTGCGTGTTGGCTCAACGTATCGGCCCCGCGTTTTGGCGAAAGTGCCGCGTCGGACCTGCGTTTTCAGGACACCTGCTGAGCTCCGTGTCGATGCGCCAAGCGTTGCGTGCAGCGACTCGGGGCAGCTAGAGTGGACAGAGCCAGCGCGCCGACGAGGGAGGAGGGAGGAGGGAGGGAGGAGGGAGGAGGGAGGAGGAGGAGGGAGGAGGGAGGAGGGAGGAGGAGAGAGGAGAGGAGGAGGAGGAGGAGGAGGAGGAGGGAGGAGGAGGAGGAGGAGGAGGAGGAGGAGGAGGACGAGCGGCCCCCTGGCACGGGCAGTCCCAGGCTTGCCTACGCCCTGCTCTTGCCACATTGCAGGAATCACAGAGCTCTCGGCACCAGCGCTCGACGCGAGCACCCCCCCTCGGACGCCCCAGCTGCAGACGCGTCCGGCCGCCCACGTGTGTTCACGGCGCCCGGAAGGGCGAGAATGGCGCTCTGGAACGCTCCGGGAGCGTTCCAGAACGCTCTGAGAAGGCCGCGGCGCTCGACGCATCCTCCAGAGCCGCGGGATCTCCGAGATGCTCGAGGCATCCTCGCCCGATCTGATCCTCGCGTCGGCTTCGTCTTGGCGTTGAGTCTGGCATGTCCTCCTCCGGGAGGGATGTTCAAAAACAGCAAGAACATAGTCTGGGGACGATTGTTCGTGCTCTTCTGAAATTTTCGTTTTTCCCATTTCCTAACGTTCTTCCCAAAATCCGCCTGCAGGAGGACGTGCCCGACCTAATCTTGGTGGCCGCGTCGCGCGCTCGTGTTGGCTCGCGCGGGCGGCGCAGCCAGGCTGGGCCGGGGCGCGGGGGCGGCCTGCGCAGGGGCTGCGGGGGCGCTCCCCGAGAGGGGCGCCGGCCCCGTCTCGGAGGGCTCCCTGCGTGGCATCCTCGGGTCGGCACGAGCGACATGGGTAGGGAAGGAGTGGGTATACGATGCCCAGCGGCAGTCCCTGCTCACTTTGAACAGGTCTCGCTGTCCGCGCCGCCGCGGCTTGTGTCCACGTGAGACAGAAGGCCGCCTCCCCAACAGCGGCCGCTGTCGGCTTGAGACAACATTTGTTGTTGGGCATTGTGCCAATTTTTTCGGTACCCATTTCGAGTGTCCAAGTCGGGGGACCTCGTCTGTCTCCAAAATTGCTGTCCTATATTGTGCTCGACGCGGGTTCGATGCGGACTCGACGCGGACCTGGCGCGGATGCGACGCGGATTCGGCACGGATTCGACGAGGATGCGACGAGTCCGACATGGATTCGGCACGGATTCCACGCGGATAGGGTTGCGACGTTACGGGCAAGGTCCCCCGATGATGCAATAGAAGGCTCCACGGCGGCTGCTTGGCATCGCTCGGACGTGTGCATTTTTTCTCGGCGAGGACCATCGATCTCTGCCCCAGATGGGTTTCGAGTAGATGGTGTAGGAAGATCGCGCCGCATCGCCGATGCATCGGCGATTCGGCCCGATGCGGAGCCCGATTTTCGCCATGCCGACGGCGTCGACGCATCGCTGACGTTGCTGATGCATCGCCGATGCATCGCCGATGCACTGACGATGCGGTGCTATCCTCCGACCACATCTACTCGGACCACATCTAGAAGGCCTCTAATCGAGGAGCTTTTTTGGGCCATCTCGGCAAAAAGTACGCGCACGAAGCCGAATAAGTGCACGGGCACGGACGTCTGAGCGATGGCGCATTGGGGGGCAGAATATCGGACGAGGAAAAGGTAGCCTCTGAGGGTCTTTTGTTCTGACTCCCCGCGTTTTCATTCGGCGGTGAATAGGACTGGTCCTACAACTCTCCCCTCCTCCTCTTCTTCCTCCTCCTCCTCCTCCTCCTCCTACTCCCTCCTCTCCCCTCCTTGTTGCTGCCGTCGTCGTTGTCGTCGTTGTCGTCGTCGTTGTCGCGCGGCGGGTGCCGCGGACCAAAACAAACACTGACCCCTGTTGTGGGGACCCCCCCGTCTGTGAAAAAGGCCGCCGAAGAAACTACGTGTTCCCCCTACAGGGGGGGTCGAAAGACCCTTCAAGGTCACCCACACCTCTGCCCTTGCCTCGTCGGAGCCTTCTAGTGGGCATCCGGGGGGGAGGCGGAGGAGGGGAGGACGAGGAGGAAGAGGCGGGGGAGGAGGAGGAGGAGGAGGAGGAGGAGAAGGGGAGAATGTTAGGACCAGCCGCATTCGCCGCCGATCGAGGATCGAGGATTCTGGGATCGAGGATTCGGGGATCGGGGATCGAGGATCGAGGATTCGGGGATCGAGGATCGAGGATCGAGGATTGAGGAGGAGGAGGAGGAGGAGGAGGAGGAGGAGAAGGAGGAGGAAGAGGAGGATGAGGAGGAGGGGCGGGGAGGGCGAGGGCGCGCCCCGCGGGCCGCCAGGTGCGCCTAGTCCTCCAGCAGCAGGCGGCGGCCGAGCAGCAGGCGAAGACCCTCGCCGACGGCAAGGCGGGACGGTACCCCTCGAGTGAAAGGAAGGAGGGAGGAGACGATCGTTTTTGTCTGCATTGTTTTGCCGATCGGCGCGCCCCCCCCCCTGGAGTAGATCTTGCCTGTTTTTTTTTGTTGGCGCCTGTTTCGAGCGGGTGGAGTCTCCCCCAGAGGCAGCACTCTTGCAAACAGTCGCACTAAGCAGGGGTCTGGAGCCAGACCCCCCCCCTCCCCCCGCCCTTCCGCCCAATGGCGAAACGCCGAAAAACAAAAACGCTAACAAGGACGATCGAGGATCGAGGATCAAGCAAGGATCGAGGATCGAGGATCGAGCAGAGGTCGAGGAAGGGAAGGAAAGCAAGGGGGATCGATAATCGAGCAAGGACGGAAGGAAGGCAAGTCGCCGAAGAAGAAGCAGCTGCACAGACGCAAAATTTTGGCGTTCCGCGCGGATGTCTTGCATCTGCGCGGGGGGCGGCGCGGATCCCAGAAATCCGCGCGGATCGTCGGAAGTGAATTCCTCTACTATCGAAGGAAGGAGGGAAGGCAAGGAGGATCGAGTATCGAGCCAGGACGGCAACAACAACAATGACGCCGTGTCTGCGTGACGCATCGGCCGAAGAGATGCCGCTGGCTGTAGGCCCATTTCCCGACCAGGGCACAGGAAAGCAAGGACAGCTCAGGAAAAAACGTGCTGGCTGGCGGCAGTCTCCCACATTTGCGGGCAATAGCGAGCAAGGACGGAAGGAAGGCAAGTCGTCGAAGAAGAAAAAATGACTCAAACGTACAGTGTTTTGGCGCTCCGCGCCGATTTCTTGGATCTGCGCGGGGGCCCCCTGGCGGCGCTTCCGGCGCCGCCCCTGGTGCAGATCCGTCAAAAGTGAATGATCATGCCGTCTTTGGTTCCTCCATTATCGACGGAAGGAGGGAAGGAAGGAAAGAAGAATCGAGGATCGAGCAAGAACGGAAGGAAGGCAATTTGGAGAGGGGACGGAAGGGAAGGAGGAAGGGCGGTGGATAGAGGGAAGGAGGGGAAGGGACGAACAGGCAGGAGGGGAAGGAGGGCGAGAGGCTCGAGACCCTCGGACGGCTCTCGCCTTCCGATGGGGGCCTTCGGGAGGCGTCTTGCCGCCACGGCCGGATCCTCTTCGAGATCTTTTCTGGCCAGAAGAGTCGGGGGGGGTGCTCTGTGATCTCCGGGCCTAGGGCCGGGCAGACCTTGGGATGATGATGATGATGATGATGATGATGATGATGATGATGATGATGATGATGATGATGATGATGAGGATGAGGAGGAGGAGGAGGAGGAGGAGGAGGAGGAGGAGGAGGAGATGGAGGAAGAGGAGGAGGAGGAGAAGGAGGAGGAGGATGTGGATGAGGAGGAGGGGGGGTGGACGGAACGCTCTCGCAGTGCTCCGGCGAGCGCCTTCCTGCAGCGGCTGCGGCGCCCGACGCGCCATCCACAAAGCCGCCAGTTCCCAGGGATGTTCCAGCTTGCCCTCGGCGCCAGACTTGTTCGCCTCCCTCCTGGGGAGCTGGAGCATAATGCACTACCAGATGGCGGGCTGCGTCTCAATCCTCGGACTTTTTGGATCGGAGGGTCGGGGCCGATGTCGTGGTGGTGTGGTGTATGCTGTTGTGCCCCGTCCTCCCGGGGGAAGCACGAGGCACGTATACACCAGGATCCCGTGTCCACCAGGATCCGCTCTCCTGTGCGAGTTTCAGTGCGGGGCCGGAAAAAGCGTCGGTGTAGAGTTCGGCTCCTTGCTTTCTTCGTCTTGCTGGGGGCCGACTGCGGACCCCCGGGCCCGAGGCCCTCGCGAACCGCGACGAAGCTCACGACGGGGGGCTTTCTTTGGCAATCTGGTGGCCGTGCCCTCGGGCCGTCGAAGAGTTTTGCCCAGGACGGCGCTCCCGTCCCGGGGAAGGGGCCAAAGATGACGAAAACGATAACGATCACAATCGTTATCATTATCTCTAGGCCTTCTAGATGGGGTCGGGGTAGATGAGGTCGGATGATCGCGCCGTATCGCCGATGCATCGGCGATGCGACAGCGATGCATCAGCGATGCGGCCCGATGTGGAGCCAAAGTTTCTCCACGCCGACTTCGCCGATGCATCGCCGACGTCGCCAGTGCATCGCCGATGCATCGCCGATGCATCGGCGGTGTATCGGCGGTGTATCGGCGATGCGGCGCGATCCTCCGACCCCATCTACTCGGACCCCATCTAGGAGGCCTTTCGTTATTGTCATCGTTATCGTTGATCTTTATCGTTGATCGTTGTCGTTGTCGTTGATCGTTGTCGTTGACCTCCAGGGGTCCGTGCTGCGAAAACAATGTATACGACATCGGGGGTCTGTCGAGAGATCGCTCCGGGAGCGGCTCTCGGAGCGCTCTGGCCCTGCTGCGGCGCCGGCATTCCCCGAGCAGTGCTTGCACTCGGGGTTTCTTGTTTCGACTACACGTGAGAGTGACCCCTCGCCAGAGTGACCTCTGGTACGGGCCCATTGGGGTCCCCCGACCGCCGAGCGGTAATGGCGTGTTGCGCGCTTATGTTCGGCCCCCCCCGCGGCCCCGCAAAAGCCCCGCACCAAAGCTCACTCTTACCCAGGGTCACTCTTGCGTGTAGTCTGTTGTTTGTGTTTTGAGAGACTGGGCTGGGATGCGTTGTCAGTCTGGCGGCTCCTTGCTCGCCGTCGCCGCCCCGTCGCCGCCTCGTTGCCGCCCGTCGTCTTGGGGCGGTTGTCGTTCTGGCGGCTCCGTGCTCGCCCTCGCCGCCCAGTCGCCGTTGTCGCCAACCCGTCACCGCCTCGTATAGATTGCCCCTTCGGAAGTCATGTTAGTTTCTACCCCCGCCCGTCCCCGCCGGGATTATCGTCCCCTTCGGGAGTGTATGTTTTTATGTTTAATATGCTCACTCGATCGTTTCTCTTCTGAGATTCATATAACTCCAGCCCTGCTGGTATCGGTCCCCTCCCCGCCATGCCCGTCAAACAATACCATGTTCGCGTCTTCGTTTTTCACAAATCATCTCGTTTCAGAGATATCTTGCACAACATCTACACAGCGGACACGCACGAGTCGTCGCTCGTGCATGCCCACATTATTCGACAGCATTGGGTAATTTGTATCGTAAGCATGTCAAGATCGAGGTTTCTGGAAGCATATACTCATGTGTTCTAAATTATGGACATACCCGTACGCACATACTTATGCAAACCCATGTATATATGCATATACACATACGTATACATCGACATATACACATACACACATACAAATACACCTACACACATATACACATACGTGCACATACATACCCCTGTATATATGCACAGTCACATACATATGCATAAACAAACATATACATCGACACATACACGTACACATACGTATACACATACATATACACATACCGTTACACATACATACATATATATATATAGATATATACGTATGCAAACACACATGCAAATGAACCATGCATCTCCACAACCACAGTTCTGCACACTTGCAGTTTACATATATATACATGCATGTATTCATATAGTAACGCAATCATGCAAAACTTACGCCACATATAAATACACATATCCGTATATGCGTGTGTATATACGTATATATATATATAGATATATGTGTGTATACACACCTATGCAACTACATATGCGTGTACATATACCTATACATTCACATACCTATATACATATATAATGCACATTTAGAATAGCCGTCAGCCCATCCCGCCACCGAAACCTGGGGATATCGTGGGAGGCCTCTCGGGGACCTCTTGGAGGCAGTTTGGGGTGTCTGGGGACGTTGGCGACGGCGGCGACGACAGAATGCGGCATGGCCAGGATCTGGCGGGGAGCCCTGCCGTGGCGACAAGAAGCCCTCCAGAGGTTTTCAGAGGGCCGACGATGACGGCGGCGTCGGTGAAGAACGGCGGCGGCGGCGGCGATGACAGCGACGACGACGACGACGGCGACGGCGACGACGACGACAGCACCGGTGGCGGCGGCAGTGTCCACGACGGCAGCGACGACGGCGACGGCGGCGGCGGCGGCGACAACGATCCGCCAGGCTGCCGCGGCGGCGCTCGGGCTGAAGCCCCCGGCCGCGCCGCAGGAGGGCCCTCCGCCGCCGGGGGGGCGGCGGTGGGCGGCCCGACGGCGACGCCGCCGACGCGGCGGCGGCGGCGGCGACGGCGAGATGACGGCGGCGACGGCGCGACGACGGCGTCATCGACGCGACGGCGGCGGCGGCGGCGCGATGACGGCGGCGGCGGCGACCCTCGCGGCGCACGCCTCTGGCGCTGGGAGGCGCGGGGAAGATGAGCTACGCGAGCTGAGTTCCCGGGAGGGGCCACGGCGGGCGACGGGGCCCCTCCCAGGTCGGGTGCCCGCGAGCACGTGGGGTGAGGGAGCGTGCACCGACCGTGTTCTGAGGAGGAGCGGCCACCTCGCCACCGCTCGGACGCCCGTTCCCCGTGCGTTTGTTCGACTTCGCGCGTGTCTTTTTCGCAAGATGGCCCAGAATGCTCATCGATGGCCCTCCAGCGCTACCCCCCCCCCTTTGCTGACCCCCTCCATTTTCGTCGACCCGGCCTTCTGCCGCCGGTGGCGGCGGTGGCGGAGCCGCGGCGGCGGCGACGTCGGCGGCGACGGCGGTGCCGTCGCCGTCGTCGTTGCGCAGGTGTCGGTGCGTGCTTGGAGGCTCCCGTCGCCGCGCATGGGGCGCGGCTCCGCGAGCCTGCCCCACGGCGGGCCGCAGGAAGTGCCCGGGGACCGATCCGGGGCGAGTCGTGGTCGGGGGTGGGGCTGCGGGGGCGGAGGAGCGAGGGCAAGGGAGAGGAGAGCAGAGTTCGGCTTTACAACGTGTAAAGTGGCTTTACAACGTGTAAGTGCTGGTCGGTTGAAGTTGGTTGGTTTCTGGTTGGAAATGCGGCCTAAACACGTGTAACGTGAGCGGCTAGGACGCCCAGAACAACCCATGACCAACCAGAAACAACCATGAGTCTGAGGGGGGGGGGAGTGTGAGCGGGCGTCGGGGCGGCCGAAGTTGGCCATGTTGTCTCAGGTTTTCAGGCTCCCGGGAGTTGGCAGCAGCGTGTGTGGCCGCTGGCGGCTTCCGCGCGCAAGGGCGGAGCACTCTTGCGAGCATTTATGGAGCGGCGTCCACGTGCAGAGCTTTTCCCCGCCTTCCGCCCCGCGGAGAGGAGCGGTCCCCGTGCAAAAGGCATGCGGTAGGTTCGTGTCGTGTCGACCGGCGGCGACCCCGCCAGCGGCGTTCAACTTTGAACGCCCCTTGCGACCCAGAATCGTTCGATGTGGAACGATCTGAACGTTTCGGAAACGGCCGATCGTTCAAGGTCGAACGATCCCGGCGGTGTCAGAAACCAACGCCGGGGCCGACACGATGCGAACCTGCCGTGTTGGTGTTTCCACCGATGGTTGAGCAGGATGAGGATTTCAGATATAGTCGAGCTGCACAGACTCTCTAGCCACGGTCACACAGCGTAGTTCGTATTCAGTGGTCTGGGGTCGAAGTCTTGTCAATCGAACAACTAACATACCCGATTGAGATTTGTGAAGTATCATGCATCAGCAACTTGATCATTCCATAACTACGTTTTTGTAAGCTCTGTTCATATGCTTACATGCGTTCGTAACACTTTTAACACATATGCGCGTTTGAGGGTTTGTCCGCAGGGGTGCCGGTTGCAAACGGCCAGACTAGTCGTCCTCTCCTAGGGCCGCCAAGGGGGGGGGAACGACGACGACGACGACGACGACGACGACGACGACGACGACGACGACCTGCGCTGCCTGCCAGCGCAAGGAGCCGCCGCGGCCGCCGCCGCAGGACCTGCACCTGGCCGAGGCTGCGGGCCAGCTGCTGGAGAGGCTGCGCGCGGAGGCGCCGCCGTCCGCGCCGTGTCAGGCGCGGCCCGCCGCCCGCACGCTGCGGCCTGGTCGATCGAGCGATCGCGGGTTTGAGGATCAGGAGGAGTAAGAGGAGGAGGTGGAGGAGGAGGAGGAGGCGGGGGAGGAGGGGGAGGAGGGGGAGAAGGGGGAGGAGGAGGGAGGAGGAGGGGAGGAGGAGGAGGGAGGAAGAGGAGGGAAGGCGGAGGAGGACGAGGAGGGCATCAGCAGCACAGCAGCAGCCACCAGAAGCGGGGGAGGAGGAGTAAGGGGACGAGGATGAGGAGGAAAAGGAGAAGGAGGAGGAGGCGGAGGACGAGGAGGAAGAGGGACAGAGAGAGGAGGAGGAGGGAGGAGAGGAGGAGGAGGAGGAGGAGGAGGAGGAGGAGGAGGAGGAGGAGGATGAGGAGGGGAGGAGGGGGGGGGGGGAGGAGGAGGAGGAGGAGGAGGAGGAGGAGGAGGAGGAGAGAGGAGGAGAGGAGAGAGGAGGCGGAGGAGGAGGGAGAGGAGGAGGAGGGGAGAGGAGGGGGGGGGGGGGACGGGGAGGGGAGGAGGAGGAGGAGGAGGGGAGGAGGAGAAGCTGGATAGGAGGGGAGGAGGAGGATGAGGAGGAGGACGAGGAGGGGGAGGAGGAGAGGAGGAGGAGGGGGGGAGGAGGAGGGAGGAGGAGGAGAAGGAGGAGAGGAGGAGGAGGAGGAGGAGGAGGAGGAGGAGGAGAGGGGAGGAGGAGGAGGAGGAGGAGGAGGGAGGAGAGGAGGAGGAGGAGGCGGAGGAGGAGAGAAGGAGGACAAGAGAGCTGTAGCAGGGGGGGAGGAGTAAGAGGACGGAGAAGAGGAGGGGAGGAGAGGAGGAGTATGAAGAGGAGGAGGAGGAGAGGAGAAGAGAAGCAGGGGGAGGAGGAGGAGGAGAGGAGGAGGAGGAGGAGGAGGAGAGGAGGAGGAGGGGGAGAGGAGGGGGAGGACGGGGAGGAGGAGGAGGAGGAGGAGGAGGAGGAGGAGGAGCAGGAGGAAGAGCAGGATGAGGAGGAGGAGGAGGAGGAGGAGGATTTTAGCTGGAGCTCCCTGCCAGGCACGAGACGCGCGGGAGGTGTCCAAAATGATCCTTGCGATGGACCCACGCATATGCGGTTGCGACTGCCGAAGGTCGGTGGGACGAAGGAGGGGCAGTTCCCAATGGGGCCACGGAACATGTGAGGAATGTGTCGAAAGGGATGCGGCGCCGCCATGCGAGCCCTGCCACTGAAGCCTTCGGAGGAGCTCCCCATGAGGTCAGGGAACATGTGAGGCGTGTTTGTATGTGTGTGTTTGTGTGTGCGTGCCGAAATGGGCGAGGGGTTGCCATGCGAACTCTGCCACTGGAGCCTTCGGTGGAGCTCCCCGTATGGCCTCGCAACGTGTGAGGAGTGTGCCGAAGAATTGGGCGGTGCCGCCAGGGCGACCCTGCCACTGGGCTTTCGCTGAGGGTCCACGAAACCTGTTAGGGGTGTGCCGAAATGGGGCGGGGCCGCCATGCGAACTCTGTCACTGGGGTCTTCGGTGGATCCCCCTGTGGGACAACCAATCGTGTGAGGGATGTGCCGAAATGGAGGCGGTGCCGCCATGCGAAACCTGCCACTGGGGCCTTCGGTGGAGCCCCTCATGGTGCCACGACGACAAGGAGATACGGAGAGCTGAAGCAAGGACAGGAAAAAGGGAGGAGGGGGAGTGCGTGAGACGGAGGGCGCTACGGATTTGAAACGAGGGCCCGACACCACAGGTTGAGGGAGGGGCAGGCGGGATGTGAGGATACGCCTGTGGCCCGGGCGCGCGGCGCGTGCCCTTCCCCCTGTCGTGCCGCTGGGCTCCGTCTGCGCTGGTAGAAAAAAGACGTGAGGATACGCGGGGCGCTGCGGACAAAGCAAGAACTAACATAGGATGGTTGGGAAGTAGGCGGAGGAATTGAATGAAGGTGAGCGTGCCAAGAGGACGTGTAGTGGGGGTACATTGGGGCGCGGGCCTGGGAGGTCCCGGGAGCCTCTGGAGATCCCCGACGGCCTCCAGAGCCCCATACACAACCAAAAGCCTTGACTCCCGAGCCCCGATCCTCGAACCTCAACGCTCGACCACGGCGACGACGACAGTGGCGGTGGTGGCAGCGGTGACGACGACGACGACGACGACGACGACGACGACGACGAAGACCTGATGACGACGACGACGGCGGCGACGACGATAACTACCACCCCTGGACCTGTCCCGCTCGGCCAGACTCTCGTTGGGAATCCAGCAGGCAGGGTTAAAAGGGTCGAGCAACGGCAAGAACGCCCTGGACCCTCGCTCCTCAAGCCTCGATCGATCGATCGCTCGATCCTCGAATCGCTATCCTCGGGCCTCGATCGATCGATCGACGATCCCCGATCCTCAAACATCGATCGATCGACCAAGAAATCCTCGAAACTCGACCCAAGGAAACCTCGATCGATCGACGATCCTGGACCCTCGAATCTCGATCGATAGATCGATCCTCGAACCTCGACCCTCTAACCTCGATCATTCGATCGATCCTCGATCCTCGAATCTCGATCCTCGATCGATAGATCGACCCTCGAACCTCGACCCTCGAACCCCTCGATCGATAGATGGATTGATCCTCGACCCTCGAGCCCCGATCCTCGCATTTCGATCGATGGATCGATCCTCGAAACACCAATCTCGAATGTCGATCTTGGAGCATGTGGGACCTGCTCCAGAACAAGAACATACCATAGACGGATCTACCCTTCATCCGACCTTGTTTTGCGCCGAACGCAGCGACCGAGTTGTCCACAGACGTATCCACCCCCAATGCGTCCATAGACGTCGCTGCACTCAATGTTCCCCTAGACGCTGTGGGCTAGAACGTGAGAACGGTAGCTATTCGTCCTCTAGAAGCCAGCCAGATGTGGCCCTCCAACGTCGCAGCCTCGAACCGCGATCGTTCGATCAACCACGACGGCAGCGGGCGGCATCGATCCTCGGTCCTCAAGCCCCACGAGCGTCGAGCTTCGATCGATGGATCGATCCTCGGGCCACCAGTCTCGAACGTCGATCCTCTTAGAAGCAGGGACAAGTCCCCGTGGGCACGGCCACACGCGGTCCCCCCCTGGTCCTTTCGCAAACATGGTGTTTGCTTGTTTGCTTGCTTGCTCTTTGTTTGTTTGTTTGTTTGCTTGAGCCGCGGCCGTGACATATCCAGGCGGCGGCCAAGTGGTGGCGGGACGCGGTTGCAGCACAGCAGGGCACCGCGGGAGCGCGGGGAGGGGGGGCCAGAGGGGACGCGGGGGGGAGGCATCAGCGGCACCGTAACGGGTACTCATTGAAAGGTACTTTGGAGAGTTGCCGGAAGTTGCCCCTTTAGGGCGTCTTTCTGGCATTGCAGCGTTGCCCACGTCGGGGAGGGTTCGGTTCGCCGGGTCACTGGCCAAAGTGCCCGTCAGTGGAGTCCCCGTAAGAGGGGCGCTGAAGGCACCTTCAGGCCGTGGGAGCCGTCGTGCGCGTGCCGAGGAGCAAGTCCGAGCAGCGCGCGGCGACAAGTGGCATAAAGATAAAAACTCGGAGGTCCGTGCGGATTTCTTGGCTCGGCATTGGGGCCCCCCGGCGGCGCCTCCAGCGCCGCCCCTGGCGCGCTCCGCGCGCCAGGGAGGGGGGTCCAGCGCCGATCCGAGAAATCCGCGCGGACCTCCGAGTTTTTATGTTTATGCCACGTGTTGTTCCCCTGCTCGTGCCCCTCCCCTCCCCCCCCCCCCTTCCAAGGAGCAGATCCTGGCTGTTTGGGGCGCCGGGTCTCGAGCAGGTGGGGCCTCCCACGCAGGACGCACTGCTGCAAACCGTCGCGTCAGGCAGAGGTCCGGAGCCCCCCGCCCCTCGGACTCCTCCCCCACCCTTCCGCCCACTGCCGAAAAGGCCGGACAGGAAAAAACGCTCGCGCGGCGCGGGCCGGCCTCTCCTGCACCTCGGCGGCGCCGGAGCGAGCTGCGGGCTGGCGCAGATGGGGAGCGCCGCCGGGCTGCGCAGTGATCGCACGGCGAAGGATCGGGGCCCCCCCAGACCCCCTCGCGTCGTGAAAAAATCACGACGGGAAGTTTTTCGCTATTTTCGGCCTCTGGGGGCCCCCACCGGGCCTCGGGAGCGTCAAAAAACGACTCAGGATGCAAAGCCGGTCATGGGGAAAGGGTCGGGACCTCTGGGGGTCGACGTAATGAAAAAAATCATGACGTCGGGGGTCTGGGCCTGGGCAGCCGTGGAGCCCAAAAGCATGGGTGCCGAGCGCGAGGCAGGACTCAGACCTCCATGGCCGTGCACCATCAGGGCGGGGGGTGCAGTTGGCGGTTGCTGCTCTGGGCGTCGGGAGGCCGCGTCCGGGCCCCCGGAGTATGCTTCGAGCTGGCGGGGGGCTCCCTCCCGGTGGCAGAGAGCGACGGGTAGCTGCGGCGCCGCCAACGCAGCGGGGCGTGAGCGGAAGAAGGGCGAGCCCCCAGTCGTGCAAGGCACGACTGGGAGCTCCTCCTGCTCCTCCCTCTCCTGCTGCTCCTCCTCCTCCTCCTCCTCCTCCTCTCCTCCTCCTCCTCCTCCTCCCTCCTCCCCCTCCCCCTCCTCCTCCTCCTCCTCCTCCTCCTCCTCCTCCTCCTCCTCCTCCTCCTCCTCCCCCTCCTCCCCCTCCTCCTCCTCCTCCCCCCTCTCTCTCCCTGCCTCCGCCGCCGGGCTTCGCATGGCTGTCAACAAAAAGATGAAGTGCGAGGCGCGGCCCTGGGGTCCGCCGCGAGGGGCGACGTGGGCGTGCCCTGCGGGGTGGGCACGGAGAGCAGCAGAGGGAGCGCTTGGGCAAGGCGTCGCGCAGCGCGGGCGGGGGGGGGGAACCGGGGCGAGCGGGCGTCGGAGCCGCTACGACGGATCCAAAGCGGGGCGCGTCCAGGAAGCGGGGCAGCCGGAGCCGGCAAGATGGCCGCCAGGGCGACCACAGAGCGGCCGGAACCGCAGCCGCAGGGACGGTCGGCGATGCTCCCGGCGAGGTCGTCCTCATTGAGCTGTCGACCGTGCGAGACAAAGGCCAGGCGCTCGGTAGCAAAGCTTGGGGCCCCCGCACGCCCTCGCACTTCCGCCTTCAGGGTGCACCAGCGTGCGCCGGCGACGGGTACGGGACGAGAGAGCGCCGATCCAGCGTCGAGTCGAGTCGATTTGGCGCCGATCAGTGTCGACTCAGCGTCGATTGGCGTCGGCCCGCGAGAGCCAGCAAGATGGCACGAGAGGCTTCAGTGAGGCGTCACCAGGGGCCGGGCGCCCGGCCCCGGTGGCGGGCAGATCCACGCCCACCGGGGAGGGAGAGAGCCAGGCGCGGCAGGGGGGAGGGAGGAGGGAGGAGGAGGGAGGGACACGAGCGAGCGGCTGAGCGGCAGCACGCGAGCGTCGGGGCGAGGCGGCGCCCGCGGGAGCACGGAGGCGAGGCGCGCGGTGCGCGCCTCCCGCGGGGAGGCCGTCGCTCGTCGCTCCGCGGGCCCTGCGAGGCACCGAGGGCGAGGCGCCGAGGCGCCGAGGGCCGGGCGGAGGTCCCCGCGCCTCGCGGAGCCAACGGCACGTCCACTCGGCACGCTCGCCGCCGTGCCCCGTCGGAGCTCCAGCTGCAGCCCTAGTGGGCACGGCCGCATGCGGTCCCCCACTGCCCACTGTATCACACACACACAAGCACCACACACACACACCACGCACAAACACACACAGACACACACGCACACACACACACACAGATACACACACACACACCACGCACAAAGACATACACACAACACGCAAACACACCCACACACACACGCACCCACACAACCATACAACCATCAGACACAACACTCGTTGTTTGGCGGCCGCGGCCTCGCGCACAGCGCCGAGGCGGAGAAAGTCAAGACACACACACACACATGCACACTGCTTCTTCAGTCGCGCCGCTGGGACACAAACGGCGGAAACATTTCGCACATGCCACACCCACGCACACATCTCACGCATGTCGTGCGCCGTCAGGATCTCCCGCTACGGCCCCGTTGGGTACGGCCGCATGCGGCCCTCCCCACCTGATGTGGTACACCCCGATCACGCACTCCGCTACACCCCTTGAGGTCCTGCTGGGCTTCTCGAGGTTCTGCTGCTGGTCCACCTTAGGCCGTCCAGTGTGTTCTTAGGGCAGGACAGGCGACGACGCTCTACCCAGAGTTCAATGAATTCGTTCTCTTGGGCCAGCCCCCAGAGCCTCGAAGACGGCCCAGGAAGCGCTCAAGACGGCTCCAGGACGGACCCCCGGGAACACCAACGGGCACGTCGGAAGTTTGGGACCGCAGCAGTACTTCCTGGGCCTCGGGAAAGGCCACGCAACGCACCCCAGTATGTAGCGCCCACCCTTGAAGAGGACCCTTACCAGGGATCTTGAGGACACTCTACTCAGTGCCTACAGTCCAGCCCCTGGCAGATCTTAGCAAGTCATAGACCCTGAGCATGGGTAGCCACCCTTTTGAACTTCACCAGGTGAGGACCTGATTTCGTGGCCAAGGTTTCTGACCATCGTGCTATTGGGTAGGTAGTACCAGCCCATCCGCATTCCTCTTTCAATGTGTTTCACGTATTTTGCGTATCTCCAGATGTGTGCGCGTCATGCCGTTACATCAACCTTCTTGTCGTATTTTCCTTTCCCTCTCTCTCTCTCTTTCTCCAGGTGTCTCTCTCTTTTTTTTGTTCTCTCTCTCTCTCTCTCTCTCTCCCTTGTGTCCGTTGCTTCTTTTTCCCAACCCTCCTGTGTTGGGTACTCGTTTTGAATAGAGCAGTGTGGTCGCCCCGCCCTTCCTCCCTTCCTTCTCCTCCCCTCCCCTCCCCTCTCCTCCCCTCCTCCTTCTCTCCTGTTTCCGGTGTTCCCCTCTCCTCTTCCCTCGTGCCATTGGGCTGCGATCTGCGCAACTGTCGCCACTTTCGTGGGCTCCTGGGAGGCCCAGCGGAGGTGGGTCCCACGCGGACCACCTCGGTACCTCGCCGCCCCCTGGGAGGCTTGCGATCTGCGCAATTGTCGCCACTTTCGTGGGCTCTTGGGAGGCCCAGCGGAGGTGGGTCCCACGCGGATCACCTCGGTACTTGGCGCCCCCTGGGGGGCTTGCGATCTGCGCAATTGTCGCCACTTTCGTGGGCTCCTGGGAGGCCCAGCGGATGTGGGTCCCACGCGGATCACCTCGGTACTTCGCCGCCCCTTTGGGGGGCTTGCGATCTGCGCAATTGTCGTCACTTTCGTGGGCTCCTGGGAGGCCCAGCGGAGGTACGTCCCACGCGGGTCACCTCGGTACCTCGCCGCCCCCTGGGGGGCTTGCGATCTGCGCAATTGTCGCCACTTTCGTGGCCTCCTGGAAGGCCCAGCGGAGGTAGGTCCCACGCGGATCACCTCGGTACCTCGCCGCCCTCTGGGGGGCTTACGATCTGCGCAATTGTCGTCACTTTCGTGGGCTCTTGGGAGGCCCAGCGGAGGTGGTTCCCACGCGGGTCACCTCCGTACTTCGCCGCCCCTTAGGGGGCTTGCGATCTGCGCAATTGTCGCCACTTTCGTGGGCTTCTGGGAGGCCCAACGGAGGTGGGTCCCACGCGGATCACCTCGGTACCTCGCCGCCCCTTGGGGGGCTTGCGATCTGCGCAATTGTTGCGACTTTCGTGGGCTCCTGGAAGGCCCAGCGGAGGTGGGTCCCACGCGGATTACCTCGGTACTTTGCCGCTCCCTGGGGGGCTTGCGATCTGCACAATTGTCGATACTGTCATGGGCTCCTGGGAGGCCCCGCGGAGGTGGGTCCCACGCGGATCACCTCGGTACTTCGCCGCCCCTTTGGGAGGCTTGCGATCTGCGCAATTGTCGCCACTTTCATGGGCTCCTGGGAGGCCCAGCGGATGTGGGTCCCACGCGGATCACCACTGGACCTCGCCGCCCCTAGGTGGTTGCGATCTGCGCAACTGTCGCCACTTTCGTGGGCTCCTGGGAGGCCCAGCGGAGGTACGTCATACGCGGATCACCTCGGGACCTCGCCGCCCCTTAGGGGGCTTGCGATCTGCACAATTGTTGTCACTTTCGCGGGCTCCTGGGAAGCCCAGCGGAGGTAGGTCCCACGCGGATCACCACGGTACCTCGCCGCCCGTGGGGGGTTGCGATCTGAGCAATTGTCGCCACTTTCGTGGGCTCCTGGGAGGCCCAGCGGAAGTACCTCATACGCGGATCACCTCGGTACTTCGCCGCTCCTTGGGGGGCTGCGATCTGCGCAATTGTCGCCACTTTCGTGGGCTCCTGGGAGGCCCACCGGAAGTACGTCATACGCGGATCACCACGGGACTTCTTGTTGCGCTCTTCTGAAAGCATTGTGGGGTGCTCGTTCTGCACACTGCGGGTCCTTTAGAATCCCAGTCATCATCGAGTTGTCCTGAGTAGAATCGCCACATGTATAGAAAGGGTGGTGTACGTCACAGGGTTTGTTTGTTTATTTCTCTCTCTCTCTCTCTCGCTCTCTCTCTCTCTCTCTCGCTCTCTCCCTCTCTCTCTATACTCTCTCGCGTTCTCTCTCTCTCTCTCTCTCCCCCTCCTCCTCTGTCTCTTTTTTGCCGTTCGCTCTCCCTCGCCCTTTCTCCCCCTCCTCTCTCTCTCTCTGTGTCTCTCTCTCTCTCTCTCCCTCTCCCCCTCTCCCCCTATATATAGATAAATAGAGAGAGAGAGGGAGAGAGAGCGAGAGAGAGCGAGGGAGTCCTCTGCTCGTGCTTTCGCCTGCGGGCTGCCAGCAGCCAGCGGAGCGCGCCGCGGCCAGGCCCTGGGCGAGCGTGTGGCCGCCCGGCTGGAGGAGGAGCCGCGCGGGGGGGGGGGCAGGGGCGGGCCCCGAAGCGCGGCCTCGCCCCTCGCCCCTCCCCCTGCCCCCTCCTCCTCCTCCTCCTCCTCCTCCTCCTCCTCCTCCTCCTCCTCCTCCTCCTCCTCCTCCTCCTCCTCCTCCTCCTCCCCCTCTGCCGAGCAGTGCCAGGCGAGCAGGAGCGCACACACGGTTCGTGTCTCCAATTCCTCGAGGGCCCTTCGATTTTCGGGGGGGGCCCAGGCTCCTTTCATGGCTGATTGTTCCATCCTGGGCCTCTGCCTGGCCACTAGGGGGGCCAGGAACAATCGGCAACGAGCACACTTGGAAACGAGCACGATTAGGAGTGAGCGACGTGTACTGGCAGTATGGCTGTCCGAACATTCTAGACGCTTCGCGTCACTCCACCAGTCCATCCCAAAACGGTGCCCAGGCGACTCGCGCTGATCAGTGATGTGGGGCCTCTTGGGGGCAGCTTGGGAGCCCCCCGTGGGGCGTCTTGGGAGCCCCTTTGTGCCGATGGGGCGCCTCTTGGTGCCAGCTTGTGGGGCCCTCTTGGGGCTCTTTTGGGAGCCTTGGAGGCCGTCTTGGGGTCATCTTGGGTCTCTCTTGGGGCCTTCTTGGGCCATCGTGGAGCCATCTTGAGGCCTCGGGAGCCCATCGGAAGCGAAAAGGCGAGAGGGCCAACATCACTGATTTTCCTCAGGTTTGGGACACATGTTGGCCTATTGGGGGCCTCATTAGGAGTCTCCGTGGCCACTTGGAGCCATCTTGGGGCCATCATGTGGCCTCTTGGAGGTATGCTGGAAGCCTGCGTGGGCAAACTTGGACCACGTTGCGGCGTCCTGGAGGCCATCTTAATGAGTCTGGAGCCACCTTGCAGCATTCATGGACCAACATCTGTCAAAACCGTTGTATGTTTCCAGTGTTTTTGTTGATCAACGAGGGGTTGTACCCAATGAGTGTCCCCCCCCTCCGGAGCATCCAACGTGGCCTCTTGGGGTCTGCCTGAGGCGCTCTTGCGGTGCTTTGGGCCGATCTTGGGGCCGCCTTGGGGCCATTTTGGGCCCCTCTGGGGGCCATCTTGGGCCCTCTTGGAGCCATCTTGCGGCCTCGGGGGCCCCTCGTAAGCGAACGCGCGAGAAGGCAAAAAGGAGTACTTTGCTTGCTGCTTTTGCAGCATGCTGGCCTCCTTGGGGCCTCCTGGGGCGCCCCCGAGGCCGCTTGGGCCTCTCTTGGGTTGGTCTTGCAGTCACCTGGAGCATGCTGGAAGCCATCTTGAGCGGTCTTGCACCATCTCGGGCCAGGCTTGCCAGGCACGCCTCGCGCGCCGAACGCGCCACGTGCTCCACGCGTGCCACGGCCGGGCGCAGCGCGGGAAACGGGTGCCTTTTGGGCCTGGGATTCTGTCGGGCATGTCCTTCTACAGGAGGTATATGCAAAAATAGTCAAACAATAGTCAGGGGACGTTTTTTTATTCTACTTCTGGGAAAATTTGAAGATGTTACCTAACAGCGAAGACTGATAGGTTTCTAGTGGTCTCAAAAGAGCTCACAGATCACTCCACAGGGGGGTCCGGGCAGGTGTTGGGGCGTTTCCGGGCGGCATGAGCCGGGCTCGTTTTTCACCAACAGTCACACACTTCGTGCTCTTCGCCTTCCCAGAACTCCATTCCCAGGCCACATAC